TTTGAGGTATAGACTGTGCTAATACATCTATTACTGTAATGAAGAGAAGTGGGCTGAGAGCCGACCCTTGATGAACTCCTTCGGCTATTGTGAGCCTCATTAGTACCAATAAAAATGCTACTTATCTCAGCCCTAGGATATAAAATGAGATAATTGATATTTGCAACAATATCATTTTAGAAAAATTGATTGTTGAAATCAATTCTGCCCCATGCTTCTCAATTTTGGCAGATGAGACCACGGACATTGTTGGCATTGAGCAGATGTCGTTGTGTGCGCGATATGTAGATACTCATAAAAACATTATCAAGGAAATGTTTCTCCAATTTATTCCTGTTTCAAGCATGACTGGGTCTGCTTTAGTTGATGTAATATTTGTGAATCTTAAAAAATTAAAAGTAATAATTAATCTTATTATATAATTATTTTATAAAATATAGCTAAATATAAATATGATACGTGGGCAAGGGTATGATGGAGCACGTGCAATGAGTGGACAATTCAATGGGCTTCAGGCATTTATTAAAAAAAAATTCCCAACAGCTATATATGTCCACTGTGCTGCCCCATTCACTCAACTTAGCAATATCGGATTCATGTTCTTTACCATTTATCAAATTGCTTAGGTTTTTAATTATTAAATTAAATTTTTTATATTTATATCAGGTAAAATATCTAGCATCTATGAGGTTTAGATACCCCAATCAAAATATTTTGAACAGAATTATATCTGAAACTCCTTGCCCAACAAGGAGAAAAAAATTGCAAAAAGCTTGTCCAACAAGATAAAGTCTTCGACATCAAGCAGTAACAGCTTTTATCGAGTTAGAAGAGCCGATTATTAATGCTCTTATAGAAATATCACAATGTCTGAAAAAGATATTTCTTCAGAAGCAAGCAAGTTACTGGATTCAATACTTATACCAAATTTTTTTTTCGCATTAGAATGTATTAATAAATTATTTAATTATACAACTATTTTATGTAATACTTTTCAAAAACCTGATATTGATTTGATTGAGATGATGAGAATAGCAGAGACAATTTTATTAGAACTCAAAGAAATTAGAGCTAATGCTGATGAGGAATTTCATATTTTATATGTTAATGTTGAATCAAAAGCAGAGCTATACGAGTTCAATATATGTCTCCCTCGACTTACAGTAAGGGAAACTTATCGTCCAAATATTAATATAGAGTCAATAGAAGAATATTATAAAATAAATGTCTTTATACCTCTTTTGGATACATTTATAACCCAAGTAAATGAAAGGTTTTTAATTTATCAAGAAACACTTATCAATCTGCAGATATTACTTCCGCAAAAGCCCTCTGAACCTTTTTCAGATGGTGATAGAAAAAAAATAAAATATTTGGAAGATTTTTATCATGAAGACATTAATGTATCTCATGATGCTTTGTTAGCTGAATGCCAACTATGAAAAGATTAACTATGGTTGATATAGTCCCAAAAAATGCTATGATGCTTTGCATCATTTCAAACATCTTTTAGATTATTTTCCCAATATATTGAAATTATTATATATATTAGCAACACATTCTCTTCTTTAAGAAGATTAAAAACTTACCTAAGAAGTACAACTTCTGAAAGTAGGTTGAATGGTCTGGCCCTTTTGAATATTCATAGGCATTTGACGCCAAACACGGATGAGATAATTGAAAAATTAGCTCCCTCCCAACGAAGATTGGATTTTACATTATAAAAATATAATGTTTCTATAATATTTTTGTGCTATCATTTTTTAATGTCTTATATATTTTTCTTTTACATAAAAAATATAATTATTCATATTTCCAACATTTAGATTTTTTATACTTTATATATAAATTTTAAAAGCTCAAAAAAATTTAAATTTCTATTATGGATTATTTATTTTATAGTCATCATATCCTGGTTATATCCACTTAATATTTTATAATTCAGATTTATTTAAAGTATTTATATGCCGATTTAATTTTTTATAATTCATATTAATTTAAATTTGTATATTAGAAATAGTTATTAGTCTTAATAAATTTATGCTTGATATTTTTAAATAACAATAATTTTATTTTAAAAAATTTTAATTATCCCCCCCCCCCACACCAAATTCCTGCGAACGCTATGGATTAACCATTTTAAATACAATCTCTGGCAGCATTATTTTGTTTATATGGTTTCATATTTTTTTCAGCAACTTTGTGTACATCTGAAAGGGCATGTTTACAATTCTTTTTATTCAAACATCATATTTTATGTGTTCTGTATTGTAATTGTCTGCTATCAATTGTATTTGTATCATTCACTTGATATATGCAGTCTTTGTGAGGAAGCAGGGTTACAGCTAGTAAATGTAGTCAAAACGGATGCAATGGAATTCTCCTATTTCTATTGAATATTTATTATGCAATCAAAATAAAGAAGGGATTGTTTTTCAATTAAAAATGTACAATTACATTAATATAATATCATTATGTTTATAAAATATTTAATACTTATTTGATGATAAAAGATGTTAATAATATTCCTAAACATGTGAAAACTTTAGGCAATTTGGAAATATAAAATATAGAGTTTTATGTGTTAGATTATTACTAAACCTTTGGATGCAAATTAAAATTGATGATAATATTATTTTCTCCAGAAGGAGAAAAAAAATGATAATTCAATCTGGGTTTGGACCGAATAAAATATTTGGGCAGTAAAACCTTATTGCAACACCATTGAAAATCGCTTGAAGTTGTTAGTGCTAATTATATTTTACTCCAGGAGGGAAAACTAAAATAGATACTTGTGTTTGGACCAGAGGAAATATTGTGGGTAGTAGATGAGTATTACAAAATATTTGAGGATAATTTGAAATGATGAGTGTTAATTTTATTTTCTCCTGAGGTAAAAAAGTTAAATGTTTTAAACGACTTGGTTACTAGATAGTGAATTGTTTAAAAAATTATTATTTTTCAATATGCATTTACAACAAATTTTTTATTCTATTAGTGATTTGCATCGGGCCTAATTTTTCGAGCCCGGCCCGGTCCGAAATTTTATTTTAGAAAAGTTTTGCCGACCCGAACCCGAAATTTTTTTTAAAAAAAATTTACCTACCCAGCCCGGCCCAAATTTATTTAAATATAGAAATTAATCTTTATAATTACTCAAAATAAAAGACATATGTTATATGTCGTTTAGTTTTAATAGGTAAAATCAAATATTTTTATTTTACATTAAAAATTCAATATAAAATTGATAAATTTAGATATATATAAAATAATTTCCAAAATCCGACCTGACCCGGCTCGATTTTTTTTTAAATATTAGGCCCGGCCTGAACCCAATTATTTTAAATAGAATTGGGCTCGAGCCCGGCCCGAAGCCCACTCGGGCCGGGCCTAATTTTGCAGATCTCTACTATACAATACAGTTTGAAATATTTACTTTCTCTCGTGGAGAAAATAAAATTGGCACCAACAAAGTAAAACTGCTCCCAGATGTTTTGTAACTCTGATTACTACCTAAGTATAATTACTCATAATTAAATAAAATATAAAGATAATACTTTTCATATTTTTTTTGGTTATTAACTAAAAGATTTTAAACAAATTATACATAAAATTTACAAATTTTATTAAAATTAAATATAATTCATTTTTATTTAAATATATTGACGGAATCATGCCATCACCAGATCTATTATATATAGCCCTGTAGCCACAGGGATGCCCTCCCCCCACTCTCATTTTTTACCCAATGGCCTCCAAATTGGTTTTTAATGATTTTAAATTTAGAATTAACCTCTCCAAAAAATATTTTCCCCTAAATAAACTTTGACCCCCCCCCACCTCCAACTTAAACCTGGGCCATGGGCTGCCTATATATCATACTCCACACAGCCATTTGAGTTAGCTTCAGAAAACTCATCCTTTTTGGATTCGAACCCAGGTCCAAGTTTAAAATAATTTTTAAGTCAAAATGGCAGGGAATATATGGATAATTTATGACGTTATCTAATATTTTATTATAAACAGAAAATATTATATTAATATTCGCATATATGCATTATTAACTAAATAAATTTTAATATTTTATGGTTAAAAATGATATAAATTATTTGAAAATAATTTTAATTAATTTAATTTTAAAATATTATTTTAAGATACCATTTGTTTTTAAAGTTATAACAATTATGAATATAAATATATAGACAAATTGGTCATTAACTGTAAATAAAAATGAAGAGCACTTTTGGTCGCGCATATTTGCCTGTTAATCTGTCTTATGTACATTTAGTATTAAAATATTCTTTAAATGATTATAACTCATACTTGTATACTTGTGATATAAATATATTTGTGGAAAAAGGAAAACGCATTTCAACATTCATGGTTATATGGAGTTACTAATAAGATATGAGACAATTGAATCAAATTTGTGTTAAATTTTTCTAAGTTTAAATTCAAACAATCTATTGTGAAGATTATATAGTATTAGCCAATCAGGTGCGATTAATGGGGGTTGAAGGGGGCCAATGGAAAAGTTATACTTTTAGATAATCTAATAATTCTTAGATATAATGATTTATGAAAAAATTATTTTAATTCATAGGTATGATAAAATATAATGAGAATATAACTTTCAATTCCCCCTCCCCCCCCCCGCACGTGCCTGGGAACAATGCTTTGGTTCTGTTCAAATTTATTCAATTCACTCAAATTTCGGTTTTCGGAGCGTTCATCCCAGGTCCCGAATTAAAATTTAAAAATATTTTATGCAGATTGTTAAATTTTTATGACCTAATATTATATTGAGTCTTTGAAACATTTAACATATTGAAATGAAATAAAATTTATAGACAAATTATTAGTTGTATTATAAATTTTTTAATATTTATCATATAATATAATTATAATGTGTTACAAAGAAATCTATATCAACTTATCTATTAAATTTATTTTAGTGTATAATTTATAAATATCGAATAGGGTTTCAAAAAATCGGACCTTTATATCGAATTTATTTCCTTGATACAAAATTTATGAATTTCTTTTAAGTTATCGATGCTTCGTTTATTCAATTTCTTAAAGGAGTTTTTAGCATTCATAGTAGGATGTCTAGTCTTAGTATAATTCGACTCCAGCAAAAAACCCTTTTCTCTTTTCAATTTGTGTAAGCAATCTTTTGTATGTGATTGTATACGAATATTCCCAGGGTCAATGCATAATTTATGCTTGATAAACTTCAGTATTTTGCACCAAGTCCCCCTATCAACATCTAAATATGGTCGCCTATTGATAGAAATATATGGGGGAAAAAATATTAATCTTCTTAAATACTTAAAGCAAAGGATTATATATTTTTTTTAAATATAAAAGTTAAAAACATTATAACTTTTTTAAGTTCTAATATGAAAAAAATATATAGCAAAATATAAAATCCCTTTTCCCTGTCGGGTTTATTTATTTCTAAGCTTAGCGCAGGTTTTATAAAATTTAGTGATTTAAAATAATTTTGCGCTTATATTTATTTTATCATTTCAAAGAAAAATTGACGAGAGAATGAATGCTAAATCCATCATAACATTTTAAAAAATAATTTAAATTCATTTAAAAAAATCAGAAAATATTACGAAGCCTGAAGATTTTGTTCAAGGATGGCACAAAGGTTTGGAACACCTATTAGCGAAATATTGAGACTTAAGCAATATTTTTTGGCTACAATATTGAATGAGTTAATTTAAAAAATAGGCCCAAATCCAACATCATAACAACAGAACATGTGATACTAAAATGAATAGTAAAAATTTCCAACCTCCTGATTTTTTTAAAATTTATTTTATAATTGTGACCATCACTTATGCAAAAAAAGGAAGAAAAGGCAGGAAATATAACAGTAATATTTTTCGGGTCACAAGCAGGGCCTATATTATTATGATATTACTTTCGGTCCACGCCACTGGCCTGCTCTGCAAGAATACACACATTAAATATCTCGCTAGTACTAAAATCAAATACAGTCTTTGTTTTTAGAAAATTTTATTTCATGGTATAAATGTATAGGGAAAGTTTAAGCAACCAAAAACTGCTGGACCAATTAAAAATATAATAGATATTTTAAAAGAATTTATCCATATTGAAGCATAGTTACCCATTTTTATGCCGTTTAGTTGTTTTTTTTCCATTTTAGAGCTTGGCTTTGATTTTAGATATTTTTTGAGTTATATTTTAGGCCAGGCCCTGATTAATAAAATCATACTATTTCTACGACTGGGCTTTAATATAATGGCATGCAGGTTTCTGAAGTTTAATATAAAATCTTCATTATATTTCAGAAAAAAAACATATATTTTCAACAATGGATTTTACATATTAAAGCGTATTCTTTAAATAATAATATTTACTTACCCATTTATTATGACGTTTGGATAAGACCACTGACATTTGCCACTAGAAAGAATTTTATTACAAGAATACAATACGACGTAATCTTCATTAGCAAACATAATTCTGTAACTGAAACTGTTATAGAATTCTTTTTTTTCATTGTAAAGATCGGAATGGACCCATCCCGGGTTATCTGTATCAAGCCAGCTCTCCAACAATGATGGTCCAAAACATTGACTTTGGCTTGATTATATAGTTATTTATATAAATATAGTTTGTAGATAATATATTTTAAAATTTAAAAGAAACTTCGTTTGGTAATAGTTTTAAATTTGTTATGATTTAAATAAGCTTATTACCGATTATTGCAAATAGTATATTTTATGAAAAACATCACTAATTAATAAAGCCCTGTATCGGATTTTTTTAAGGTCTTACCCAATCCGAGAACAATTTTGTCCGACTGATTCGATCATTTTTTTTAAAGAACCGTAAGCCAATTCCATCCTATTAGAAATTATATTCTAGAAATAGGTCCGATCTAATTCGATATTTTTTTATAGGGCTGTTGAAAAAGCACGATATTTTTAACGAAATCTGAAATTATAAGTGCTAGCTAGATTATAATGGAATCCTATCCGACACGATTTAACAGCTGATCCAAAACTCTGTTTTTGAGATCAATCTTTCTTTATTATTATTAACTTTATTTTTAATTCTATTCATGAAAATAATCTAAGCATTATTGATTTTAATAATAAAAAAAATTGATCTCATTAAAAGATTTTAAAAATCGCTCAGCTGCTAAATTGTTTTGGATCGGATCCAAATATGAATCCAGCCTAAAAATAATAAACAGCTTTGTAGACATTCTTAAAAAAATATTTTTTCATAAAAAACCATTAGGAAAACAAAATATTTTAATAAAATATCTGAAGTTCAATTCCTATCTGGTCCGAAATATATTATTAATCAAAGTCTGAATTAGACTATCTAATGGTACAATTAGTTTAGAAAATAATGTTTTATCACAATAAAGAAAAACACTGCCATATAACCCCGGTCTCCCTTATAAGTTATTTAAATAATGACTATATAACTGAAAATTTCAGAGAAAAACTTTTTTTAAAAAAGTGTAAAAAAATGTAACCTGGACACCTGCCAAAAGGCATTCAGTAAATTATATAGGGGAAGCCGCAAAAAATTCCTCCTTATGCCTATTTCAATGCTTCCAACTCAATTCCTAATTTTTCCTCATTTAATTTTAGATTCCTAATGTAACTGGATCTCTTTAAAGTGATTTATAATTTATCACTACTAATCTATACTCCTGCTGCTTAACCATGTTTACTCTACAATCTTTAAAAATTCTTAATTCCTTCTTAGTCAACCATTATATAATCCATCTATCATTTCCTATTACCTCTTATAAACGTAATGAGACTTTCATTTTTTTACTGAAAAAGGTATAATTTTTATTCTAAAGACGTGAAAAATTATTACTAGAGACTTGCAGAAGTCGAAATTTTAAGTCAAGCCTAGATATGAAAAAAGTTTTCATTTTTAAGCTTGGCTCAGGATTTTTTTCTGGAAATTTTTTGGTTGGACTAGTATTTTTGATTATTTTATGATCCAGTCCGGAATATTTAAATATTTTGTGATTTTGAATAATTTAGCTATATTTTGCAAATGGTTTCAAAGGGAAATAATTGAAAATAGGCCAGTAAATAGATATAAAATTCTCCATTATAAGATTTTTCTTCCATTGATCAATTGATATAATTTTTTGAGCCGCATCCGGCCCGAATTTTTAATTTTTTCAAATTTTTAGGCCCGCCCATATTTTTAAAGTTATATCATTTTTCGGCTCATTCCGGGGCTTACAAGTCTCTCTCTCTTCGCCTTAACTATCCATTTTAGCAAATCTTTTACCAATGTGTCCATTAAAATCAGCATACCTTTCTTCTTTTTATTTTCTAAACAACTTTTGGGGCATACATGCACACAGCTTTAAGATTAAATTTTAGCTCGATCTAATGACAATTATTTTATAATTCTCACAACTTTGACAAACTTAAAAATTCCCCATTCAATATGTTTTTTTATTCCATTATAATATTTTATTTACTTTTACATGTAATATTATTCCTACGTTCAATAAATCCAATATTTACCAACTTTTGCTATTAAAATTCCAATATTTTTTAACTCAAATATATTTTTAAAACTGCCAGCTATCACATATTTAAAATAAAATTAAAACTAATACCACGTGCTGTGCTTCTCCTTGAGGAAATGCACTTGCCCCATAAAATTATAAAGCAAACTATTAGAAAATTAATCTAGTATAAAAAGTTCTTTAATAAATATACACGAAAAAGTTTGATAACATGGGAATCAAAACCGCAACTCTATTATCAAAGACTTTACTCCTTAACGTCATTTTATAAAATTAATCATGAAATATAGATAATGGTTATTAAAACATATTTACAAATATATTGGTAGCTTCACTAGGAGGAGGGGTGCGCAGGGGCTCGAGCCCCCTGAAAAATTTGAAAATTCCCTCAAAATTTTGAAATTTATCATTACAAAGGTAATTTTCAAAATAATTTTAATTTTTTCATAAGCCCCCTGAGATTGTAAAGGCTAGTGACGCCCTTGAAATATATATACACTCTTTCTTTCTGACACTTTTTTGTTTAATAGAATAGTGACTTATATAATTACCTGTATATCACCAATGCTTCCTTTTGTTTGGACAAAAATGTTGTACAAAAAAATATTGCATTAAAATTATAAAAGTTAAAAATTACATTTAATTAAAAAAACTAATTCTAATTTTTTTTAATGAGATAACAAATTTTTACATGTTATATATAAACTCTTCCTAAACTAAATGCTTCACTTATTTAAAATTTTAATTTAAATTCTTCATAAATTTTAAACGTTGATTTAGAAAAAATGTATGTTCACTTACATATAACCAGCATATTTGACCTGGAATGACGTGTTAAATCGGTGTAGATGCTCAGTTATACCTGATTCAAACAGATATTCATCGGGAGGTATGGTATGAGCGTAGGTCTTCCACATTCCCATAAGCTATTGGAAAAAATATCGAAGATTTATTAGTTCAATATAATATTGGGATAAAAAAATATTTTACATGCAGAAAAACAACATTTACGTAGTTCTTTAAATAAGATTTAATACGTTGTAATTAAATAACACATATTTGGGTAACTTCTAATTTAATATAAAATATTTATGACGTTATAATTAAACTATAAAGGCTGAATACACAAAAATATTTAAGGGGATTTACATTCTGAGTGTGGATTATTCCCTGCGGAATGATATCTTTGTCTAAACAAGTGGACGCTTCATCATTTTCTATATCAAGTAATTTGCTACCATCCAAATTTTTCGTATGATATCTTTCGCGCGGATTACCTGTAATATTTGAATTTAAAATAGGTTAATTTTATAAATTATTCAATAATTTATATATATTTCTATGCTATATTGTACCGTATATATAATGAATAAAAAATATGAAATTCAACTGTATCAACCAATTCATTTTTCTCATTTTTAAATAAAATTAAGAGAGCTTTAATAGTCTTATTTAGATATTTTATAAAAAAAAATATTTATGTACTAAAACAACACTCGATGCTAAACATTAAAACATTATGTACGTCTATATATACAAAAAATTATATAAATAATTAACAATTTTTATCCAAAAATGCCATAATGATATTAATATTGGGTCATTCATCAAAAAAAATAAAAAATTAAAAAAATGAGGCCTTTATGGCATAAATTATCATTTGTTTTTACCTTTAAGATATGTCCTTCTATTTTCATGTCACAAAATTTGACACTTTAAAAATATTATATCATTTTTAACAATAACAATTTTTTTTGCTATTTCGAAAAAAATTAATGATAAGATTGTGTATTACACCACCATGAATTGTAAAAAAATGACATCTACCATTGGGGAAATAAGATTTGTTTTTATATACTAATGCACGTAAAAAAGACCTTGAAATTTCTAGACACAACATATTCCATCTTTTAGTTATATTGTGAAGAAATATTTTTGACAATTTCTTACTAATAATATTATGAATAGAATCTCCGATTTTTGAAACATTTTCTCAAAAAATTTAAAAAATATATAATAATACCAGGGGTCTAGATGATAAAATGGGAAACATTTTAATTTAATTTAATATTATTAAATACTATTTTGTGGTTGAGAGAGGCATGTAAAGGAGCTGTTTAATTTTTGCAAAAAAGAGGGCTATTTATTTTCTTTTATAAGTCGCCTATTTCATTTATATTAGTTGTTTACCATCAATTTTTGATATTTAAGTAATAAATTTTGTAAAAACATACTTGAATTGTCATTTTATATAATAAGCGGGCTAGTGGGGTGTTAATACATAAGATGTGGGCAAAGGACTGATGTTATATGAAATGGCTTAATATTATATTTGATTAATCTTTCTCAAAACTTATAAAAAAAATTTGTGCACTAAATAAATACCTTTAAAAAATCAAATTATCCGTTATTCATTTTATGAATACGAATATTATATTATTCAATTCATACAAAAACGAATACTAAATTATTCGATTATTCAATTGTCGCCTACGAATATTTCATTATTCAATTACAAATTAACTAATATAAGAATATTTTATTATTCGATTCAACTTTCTAGAAGCTATGCTGTTATAATTTTTTTTGCATTGGATAACATAATATAACACAATACATAATTTTATCTCCCCCCCCCCCCCCGATTAAATATCTCCTATTCTGCATAAAATACTTATTTATTTGAACAAAAAATGCCAAAATTATCTTAAAGTAAAATTTTGAAGTCGAAACAAGCCATTTACACACCAATTTTAACATTTATAATATGACCAGAGTTATGATTAAATTTTTTTAAAATATTATAATTAAATCTTTTATAATAAATATTATATAATTGTATGCAAAAATGATCAATTTTTAGTCCCGGTGATGGCTCTTCCTTCCCCAAGTTTTTTTTGAAAAATTTAAAATTATTTTTATATAAAATGTAAAAATGAGTAAGTGTAACTAAAGAATATTAAATTTATAAAATCATTTATTAAAGCTATTATATATAATATCTATAAAAATGTAAAAATATAAATAAAATTATATGAACTTAAAAAAAATAAAAATTTAATCTTTAGAAAAACATAATTGAGTTCTTAAAAAGGATAGTTTAAAAATATTGATTTGTATGTTTTGTCTGAAGAAAAAGAATTCTCTTGGTTCAGGTTTGCAATTATATTTTGTGAGTTAAATTTTTTAACTAACGTAGCTATTAGTGAAAATATAAAATTGCTTAGGCATTTGTTTATTTTTTTATTCTCTGCTTGAGTAAACAGGTTGCTATAATATATTAGTGGGGAAGGATGAGACACATGTATAATCCCAAATACGGGATTTGCCCATAGCGAGGGGATGGTGGTCAGATTGTCGGGTCTTAAGCTGTCATCTGATGAGATGTTGCAGGGTACTAGAATTCAGTGCGAGCTATAGAGGCTTAATAATTTGTTTATTGATGTATGACGTTGGTTACATCCTTGACTTTTAATGCAGTTGAGACCATTCCTTCCCTTGGCATTTACTAAAAGGTTGCAGTTTATGCAATGAGGTTGAACTAGGTCGCATCTGAGTCTATATCTTAAAGTCATTCTTTTGTTCATTGGTTAGATTCCCTAGGTTTTTGCTTGACAGGGCCATAAGCCATTCGTGGCCTCCGATTTTATTTTCGTTTTAAAATGGCTGAATGTCTAAGGGAGGAAGAGGAAGATAAATTTGTGAAAGATTTTGATATTAGGGATGTAAAGATGTTTTTGTATGTGACTATTGTAAAAGAAGATTATTTGGTTAAAATAATTAGTTAGTGTTTTTAAAAATTTTATTGATGTTTGTGCTTTAGCTTTTATAAGATCCGGGATTGTAATCAGAGTCCTTCATGGGCCGAGGCCACGGCCCGCAGGCAGGGCATGTTAATATTATATTTTCTTGCGGGTCTGGGTTTTCAATTTTTTAATGGGCTTAGGCCGGGCTTGGGTCTAAAATTTTTCATTTAAATTCAGCTTATTTTAAGGGATTTAATAGGCCAAATATAACAAATCAATATAATTTTATTAGTATTATATATCACAATACACTATTCTACATACCCTGGAGAGTGCTAATTTTGCTTTTATTGCTTGTTTTATTTAAAATCAAAAATTTAGTATTTTACTTATATTTAACAATAACTATAAAATTTAAAGTGCATAGGTAATAAATATTTTTTAAATTTTGAGGGATCCTATTTTATTAACAATAACATGTTATATATATATATCTATGTGTAGCTGCCTATAAAGATTAGGCTTAATAATAATGGTTATTAATAAAAAGATAAAATGCATCATCCATAACTTTTGGCAGATATATATTTCAAATATTAAATTTAATAAATTTATTTAGATATAAATGCAAATCAAATCAATAATAATATTTTTCTCCTTTTATTCAAATATAAATGATAAAGTTATTGTTGATAAAATATTATTTTTAAATGATAATTTGAAATTATTTAGATTAAAATTTTGTTTATATTTCTAAATAAAATAATATATTTCCACTTGTATTATTTTACATAAGTGTTATAAAATAATTTAATGGGCTTGGGCCATGGGATTCTTTTAAAAATATTAAATGCGGGCCATGCTGGATCTGGGATTACAAATTTTTTATGACGGGCCTGGGTCGGGCTTAGTCATAAAATCAAGGCCTATGAAGATTTCTTTGTAATATGTTGTATCTCATCTTCGAAAATTGGACATTTTTCTCAACATCTTCACCTTTATATATAGGCTAAACTTTTCATTTTTCATTATATCTAAACACAGAACCGGACTAATCACTGATCGACAAAGTTTATGGTTTAATTTATTAATGTATCAATCAGTAGGGGAGACAGGATGTGGATGAGCGGGATTGGTCGGCACTCTGTATATTATTCTTAAAATACTTATCTATGGTGATTGAATTTTATTTTTATCTAACATCCAACGGAAGGAAAACGCCAGAACATTTATTTAATTTGTGAACAACACAGTTTAAGGAGCGAAATTCAGTTTAGTTGTATATAATAATGAAGTGAATGTGTGGCAAATATATTAGAGGAGACGGGGCTATATGGTAGATCCGGTAAAAAGGTAAACGGCTATAACTTTTTTATCGTTAGGGCACTAATTGTTTTAAATTTGGTCAAAAGATATATTCCTATACTATTTTCATTATGTTTATTTGGTAGTGAAAATTTGACTTTCAAAAGATATTGTTTAAAAATAATTTTTTTGCTCCTTTTCACAAACTTTTTTATTTAGTATTTATTTTAATAATAATAAAATAAAAAAATTTTCTTTTGTGAGTTAAATTTAATATTTGTCATCATACCCCCAAGAGCTTACCATCTTTCTTAGGGTTGTTAGTAAACAATAAAATACACAATTTTTACTTGATCCTAAACAGCACCCATAAAGGTTAAAAAGCCTCGTTTTTTATTTTGTAGTCAAATGATTAACCTATCCAATGATACAATTAGTTTTTTATAAAATTAAAATAAATTTTATAGCAAAAGATCAAAACAACTGCCATTTAATCTCTGTTTCCCCATTGTTAAAATCAGATTTTTCAAAATTTAAAAACGCCCTCAATAAATAATTTAACATTGAGAGCTTCTGAATTACCACAAGAGGATTTTTGATTATTTTCTGATCCAGATAGACGTGAGTTATTAAAAGATATTTTCAAATGAATCTAAATATAGATACATGGCCTAAAAAGGCATCTAATACGGATACACTTTGTATCTATATGTGCAATTTTTCCAAGCTACATTTTAGATAGAATTTTTTTTATTAAAATCATGTAAGATGTGCATAATGTTAAAATTGATTGTAAAAAAAACTCAAGTCTGACATGAACCAAACATTTTTTTATTTGTATTTTAATTATTGATAAAATATATAATTAAATGATTATAAAATATATAATTAAATTATTATAAAATACGAGCAGAAAGCCCGTCACGGGGAATCATAATATTCTCCTTAATTATGATGGATGTATCAGATCCTATTTGTTTGATGATGGATAAATCAGAAATTTTCGCTTTATTAAATTTATGAATAAATCTGGAAAATAAAGGTAAATTTTTGAATCATGTCAAAAAATGGGGGAGTAGGAATTATAGCTTTAATTTGATGATGGGTGAATCCAAATTTTCCCTTTTATTTGATGATGGATAAATCAGCCTAAATCAGAAAAATAAAGGGAAAATGTCAGATTTTATCATCGAATAAATAAGAAAATTCTGATTCCCCATCATTCTTGACGAGCAAAATGAATAAAATGAAACATAAAATAACTAAGTGATACATAGTCACGAACGGTTCAAAGCTTTCTGGCTTATATCTAGAAGAATATAGACATTTTTATTTTATAAAGAAGAAATGAGATAGATATTGAAAGCTATATATGAGAAATATATGATATTTCAAATAGGTTTAATATGATTTTATCTAAATTATTTGACCTCTTTATAAGGATTAGTTTATATATTAAAATAAGTTAATTCTATATGTAGTCAAACATATTTCTATGATCAAATATTTCACATGTTTCATCTATAAAACCAATTTTATGTGGGCACAGGATTTATGATCAAATATCACCCAGTAAACCAAATTTTTTAATAAATAATCTTTTAAAATAAATTTTTCTAATATTTCGAAATCAAAGAAGTCGTAATGCCATGGTGGTGGGTCAGCAGACACCAGATTCATCTAAAAATGTATCTAGCAAATGATACAGACACTTTAATATGAGATATATACAACCTTATAACAACTCTGTCACAACTTACATTTTTTAAATATAAATTAGAAAACTCGCCAAAGAAAATTTCGCCAAAGTAAAAAGAAAACACGATCTTGATCATTTTGTAAACACTTATAGCATTTAAAATACTTAGTTCTTTTCATTTTTACAATACCTCATGAAATTTGATCAATCTGATAAATAGCCAATGATAAAAAATAAATTCAAAATTTATTTTATAATATGCATAAGTGGTTTTAAGTCATATTCCGCATAGGGTCTAATTTTTCACGTCTGGCCATGCACAATTTTATTTAAATAATTTGCTATTTTCTTAATGTAAAACAATATTAAATAAAAAATATTGGCGCCGTGTTTCTTCCAAAATTTTAAAATATATCAATTTGTTCCACAAAGTTGAGTGATATCATATTTAAATTTGGCTCAAATTTTTTTAAAAGGCTTTGGGCCGGATCGTATTCGGTTCAGGTATGAGCCGGACCAGGATTTGTAGATCTCTAGTTCAAAGTACTCTGGTTTCTCAAGCTCCAGGCCCGGAATGACGGGCTTGGAATTTCAAAAACTTTGGGATTAGGACAAAGACTGCAATACCAAACGATATGTAAATTAATAAAATATAATCATTTATTAGTGATTTTTATTTTATTTAACTTTGTAGAAATGTATTCAATTTATATTTTCAATTAAAAATTTAGGGAAGCGCAGACCTAAAAATTTGGACTGAGACCTGGTTTGGACCTAAAATTAAATAAAAATTTGCGAACTAAGATTAATCCTTTTCCAGTTAAATGTAAAAAATTGGCCGTTTATATTTTTATTTAAAAAAATTGATTCTTAAAAATATAATTTATACAAATATATTTAAACTAGGCAACAATTTTTAAATACAATAAAAATAAAGAAAACATTTATTTTTATTATTTAGAGGATCATAGTAAAGTTTAATCTGTCGATGTGGTAAATTTTTCATTTTCATTCTTAAAATTAGATTTTCAAAGTATATATTAAAACGAAAACATAATTAGTCTTGCTTTTATTATAGAGTGGTTATTTCATAGTTCATTTATAATATTAAAATAATATAAGCTTGTGTAAAATATTTAAATTTTATATTATTAAATTATTAATTATATATTCAAATTAAAAATAAAATATAATTTATGTATGAACTTTTTCCAATTTTTCTTAAATGTGAAAACTCACATTTTTATGAATATATTAAAATCCTCAAATTTTTATACCTCGAGCCGTTGCTGAGAACATTAGTGGTGAGTTAGAGGGCACTTAACAATAAATTAACAGCAATTTAGCGAGGGGAAAGCATTCTCTCGAAAGAGGCATGTGCCGCCGATTATATCTAACTACGTCTAATTCCAATCAAGACAATATTAAAGTTCTTAAAATTCAATATTCTAAGAGTTTTTATCATTAAATAAACTTCATGATTGCAAAAGGACTATTGTGTTTTAATGTTTTTGTTTTTTTTTGACTAAGAAATCTTGCTATATTTTTGGACTTGGGATATTTGAATTTCTTTATTTATTTAAAATATGATTAGAAAATTATTGTAAAAATACTGTGCACTTTCGTAACTTATATATATTTTTTTCAATTAATTTTGTTAGAAAATGTCAAGCAATATCATAGATTACCTATTTTAAATTTTTTCTACGGAAGATATTATTATAATTATTTGTTTGGTTTATACTTTTATGTCATACTTTTATAGCTCTTTAAATACTAATAAGATTCTAAATCCGAAACCGTTAGTTTTTAATATAATTAAACA